TCACACTCTGTGCAGCTGCTGATTACCAGGTGGCATTTCAAGTACAATGAGTTCACGCAGATAAAAATCAGAAAGTGAAAGCAGTTCTGGATAAGAGCCTGAATAGATCCAGGGACGAGGCTTGATGTTTGTCATGCGCGGCAGGTTTTTCTGCCATCGTGTGCATGAAATCTCAAAATTATGAAACACAAACTGAGGCTGAGCCTCGGTACCTCTCAGCTGTGTCTGTGTAAATTATCTCCCTCCACCTCCAGCTGATAAACAGCCCTGCAGTGAGTGTTAACTATTTCCTGGACGACGATGAGTCAGTGCGATGACTCATCAGTTTATCAGCCAGCGAGAGGTGGACGCGAGGTGCGCAAACACCGAAGGCGTCTAACTGAGCAGCGCAGACACTTTACTGCTTTTATGTGCCGGCGAGACAAAGGTTCAGGGTTAGACGACCACACAGACGTCTGAGTTTTAGCCACATTACAACGTTTCTACAAGTAAAAGATGAAGATGTTCTACACCTTTTCATTAACAAGTCACAAAATGTACCAGCTGTTTACAGATACACAAAGCAGGGTGAGTGGGTGGGTGGTGCGTTAGCCGAGCACCAGCGCACCCTCATCAACACCAACCATCATGATACATGTTTGTTAAAACAGGCTTTAAACACCATATTGTTTAACAGTAATACTCATGTTAGAGTCAGCGTTACTAACATACACTCTGACCTGTCTGAGCTGCTAACAGCAGGGGCCTTTGTTTTGTTGTTGCATCATGTTAGCCGTTTAGCTAATCGCATATTAGCTACTTTAGCCAAACTAGCATTCGTGCACATTTAAACCCTGCAGAAGGACTCGTTTTCAAGGACACCTCGAACTTCTACAGATACAAGCTAATGACACAGAGTCTGCATCTGTTTCATCTCCATAAACAGAACCTGTAATACATTACTAGACTTTTTATTGTGTATTTAAATGACAGCAGAGTGTTTGAGTGCTAGCTAATTTTGTCCCTGTAATATCTGATCTCAGGCTAGTTGGCAGATTTGATTCTGATTTGCACAAATGTGAACCGGACATCATCTCAATGATATCAGAGCAGATGTAATTCATAGTTTAACTGATTCACTGGCATCTTCAAAGCAACACAACAAACTTTAATACTAGAGGTGGGAATCACCATACATCCCACGATACGATATTATCACAA